GGCTGACAGCCACTAGAGGAGGACGTAACCCTGCAAGGTAATTATTTGCAGTTTGAGTTCTGCAATGAACCGGTAACCATGTAGTAAGAAGCGAGAGCACGTTAAACTCAGGAGATAGACAGAGAGAGATTGATTGAGAACCTGAGATCAGGTGCAGTTTCCTTTTAACTCAGGAAGGAATGACATCACAAGCATATGGGGCCTGATTGCTAAATGTCAATCTCGCTGGAATAAAATATGGGGGAGGAAGAGAAGAGAGGGTAGGGGTTGAACCTTTTCATGTACTTGTTAGGGCTGGCGTTCCAGGTGGTTATCACGGTGGGTGAGGGCAGGCAGTTGAGGTGTCACAGGGGGTTCCCAGTTAAGATGGAGCCCCAGCTGGGGAGAGTTCAGGGTACAGTTGTAGGTCAGCTTGTCTGTAGCAGATTACGTCAGTCTTCCTGGCTGCCCTTAGTATGGATTCTTTGTCAGCAAATACCTCCAGGCGGCATATGACATCCCTTAGCGGTGCTTCTGGTGGTCCCATCAGGCGCAGCGCGTGATGTGCCCTCACAAGCCCCAGCGGGGAGGCAGGGTCTCTATGCAGGAGGCCGTTGAATATTTCTATTAGGATATTCTGGAGGTGAGGTGGGTCAGTTTAACCCCTTAAGGACACATGACATGTGTGACATGTCATGATTCCCTTTTATTCCAGAAGTTTGGTCCTTAAGGGGTTAAACCTCGGGGATGACTCTGAGCCTAAGGTTGTTACGCCTCCCCCGGTTGTCCAGGTCTGCCACGTGTAGGGCCATCCCCTTTAGAATGTCCTCATGCCGTGCCTGAGTGTCACCTACTTGAGCATGGGCTGAGCTGAATTGGTTGCATGTGGCCTCTACGTGGCCCACGGGGTCGCCCAGTCCCTGGATGTCCTCTCCGGCAGCCTAGAGCTCATTTAGCATTTAAATTCGCATAAAAGCCCGGACATTTGCTACCAATGGCAGCAGACTTACCTAGCTACCGTCTCTCTGCACTTTACAGCAAGTACAGTTTGCACTGTATTGATCAGTACCTAGCACAAGTTGATTTGCGGCCTAGTGTCACGTATTCATCCGCTTATAGAAATGTGGTTAATGACATTTACTGTCCACACAGGAAAAGTTGTGCCGAGCAGCAACCTAATCCACAGAAGGGTTAATGCTGAGCAGTAATTGTGCAAATGAAACCTGGTGTCATGTATTCATCCGCTTAGAGAAAAGTGGTTAATGACATTTACTGTCCACACAGGAAAAGTTGTGCCGAGCAGCAACCTAATCCACAGAAGGGTTAATGCTGAGCAGCAATTATGCAAATGAAACCTGGTAACTGACTTTGGGGTCAAAGGCCGGTTACAGCCTATCAGAACTAAAGGAGGGGTATTTAGGCCCAGTTCTCAGCCTGCTCAGTGCCCTGTCGTGGTTTCCCTTGTGGTTGTCTGAGAGCGCGTTCCTGTTTATAGTTTTCTACCTGGTTTTTGACTTTGGCTTTGTTTATTGACTTCTCTATATTCTGGTATCCTGACTCCTGGCTTTCCTCATCGCTGTGTCCCTTTCTGTGTTCCCTGACCTCGGCTAGTATTTTTGACTATTCTTTGTACGTTAAATCCGGCCATTCTAAGGACCGGTAATACGTTACTTATTTGTCATCCGTGCTGTACAGTTCTACGTGCTGGATCAAACAGTAATCCTGACACCTAGTACAAGTGGCGGTAGTTGGAAGAGGTTGCCGACCTCCCGGCTCAGGGTTTACAACTCTGAGAAAATTCTGCAGCCCCATTCTCCCTCTTTGGAACTGGTGGAGGATATCACTTACTATGTACTGCTGGGCTCAAGTCCTGCTAAAGACCGCATGGATGGTTTAAGATGGCTGCTACGTTAAAACTACCACACATCCAGGAGACACAGGGAGGCCAGGCATGGAAGCTAAATTTTACAAGCTTTGCCAGGTGTTCTGGCACCAGATTGAAAATAAGCCTCCACTCTTCCACACCACTGCAGACACACCGACGCAGTCTACTGCTCTCTCACATGGCTCTTCTTCTGGGACGGGGGCCCATTCAGATACCCGATGTCCACTACCACAGAGGGCTTGCTGTGATCCTGAGGGCCTGCAATCCAGTCATGTGGTGCAGAAGAATCCCTGTACAAAGGGGACCGGTTCCTGTTAAAGCCTGGGCTAGAGGGGTTTTAGGCTGCAGCTCTGTGGACTGGGTCATACCTAAGAGCATGCAATTCTGAAACCCTTTGAGCGGTGCCCCAGAGACCGAGCTGAAATCATAGCTGGCAAGGAGACTGCCTTCCTCCTGTGGCCGAATTGCGGTGTTGGATGACTTATGACTGATGCCATATTATTTATTGCATGAGGACTGTCCTGCCTTTACCAGTTCGTTTGCCTGTCTATGCATTGTTTTGATCTTAGTGTTACATCTCTTTATGTCCTTAATATTCGGTGGTACCTAAGCTTTCTTTACTATTCTTACCTGGAATGTTACAATCCTTGTTGACTATATATTAATATTAGTAGTCACCATGTCTAGCATCTTAAACTCAAAGCAAGCACAAAATACCAGCTAGGACTAAATATGCATGTTTAGTTTGTTACTTAGCTTGTATTTTCTTGTTTTTCCTTAAAAAAAAAAAAAAAGCACATCTTGACTAGTCCTACTTATATAATTTCCCTATGTATTGTGTCATTGCCAAAGCATGTTCTTAACACTGCACTTCAAAAATAAAGAATGAAAAAAAAAAAAGAGTGCAACCTTCTATGCCATTATTGATAAACGACACTCACTGTCAGTGCGCATAGGACTAATTGCATCAAAATTTTTTAAAGAGTGACATAAAGTTTCAATATGCATGTGTCAGCATCAAGAAAGACCTGGAGTCATGACAGAACCCCTCTGCAGGAACACTTGATGTTTGGGGACCAGCAGGGAAAGAAGGGTACCTATCCTGAAAAGAGTGAGTGAGGGTGGGAGCATGCACATCAGAAGAATGAAGCCAGGAGCGTTCCACATGCTTGTATCCCTTTCAATGTACAGATATTGAAGGGAGCCACGGGTCATAATTTCTTGAATTTCATACTCCTCCTGAACATTAACTACAATAGGTTGAGGAGGTGGAACAGATTTAGTGAATCTGTTGCACACCAAGGACTTGAGGAAAATGTATGGATATGTTTGGAATGTGAAGGTTTCTTGGCAAATGAAGGGCATACAAAACAAATATTTACAAATAACCCTATAAGGTCCTATATATGTCTGGGTGCCATTTCATGGAGGGGACACGGAGATGGATATTATAAGTTGATAGCCAGACCCTATCATCCACGTGATAAGATGGGGTTGCTCTTTACCACAAACAGCAAAAGTATTTCAGGTTTTATTGTTTCTCTCCAAGATGGTTTGACCTGCCTCTAAATGTTTTTAACTTTGGTCAAATGTGTACCCAAATCTGACATTCCTTTGTTGGAAAAGAGTTGTCCTGGAGTTGAGAAGTAAAACAGCTTAGCTATTGTTCAAAACTTTGATTAGTATGTTTGGCAGTCCCATTAGTTTTGGGGTGTAGGCTGAGGAAAAAATAGAGTTCAACTCCCACCTCATGCAAAAAAAAAACTACAAAATTTGAATATGAACTGTAAATCCCTTGTCATAAACAATAACATCTGATATGCTATGAAGTCTAAATAACTCCCGAGTAATTTGTGTGTCAATTATGCTGAAAAAAAAGAGGTATATTATGTGCTTTTTTTTTATTGAGAAGCAGTCCACTACAACCAAAATAATAGTATGGCCTTTATAAGGTAAGTCAACTATGAAATCGATAGATAACAGGGACCAAGGAACAGGAGATATGGGAAGAGGTTGTAGTAGACCTCAGGGTACTTGATGTGATGCTCTAGCTTGGGGTCAAGTGACA